GCCGGGTGGCCGCTGGAGGCCTGGCCTGGCCTGGCCTGGCCGAGTGACCCCGCCGGGGGCCAGCCGCGCCGGGGCCAGGGGCCAGGTGGTCGCTCGTTTTCTTTAACGCTGCGGGTCGCGGGAGGTGGGGGGAGGCCGGCCCACTCCCCCTCCTACCTGGTTGCTAGGAGAAGCCACCTCATCGGTGGGCGTGCTAGGTTGGAGCCTCTTCACCTTTCTTAGTTAATTTATCTGTAAAATGAAGGTCTCATAGAATTTGCCGTCTAGTTCACTGGCACGTAACACGTATTAATTAAATACTTGTAGATTCATTTACAGAACCTAAGAAAGCTCCACGAGGCGGGAATTTTTATATATTGATGAGTTCCCAGTGCCCAAAACTGCGTGGCACGTAGTAAACACTCATTAAGTAAATGGTGGAAAGAATTGCATTCATGTCCTCGGCCAGCCTACTCTTAGGTAGGTGATGATGACTAATGTTTCATGAGTGCCTACCATGAAGCAGGCGCTGTTCTTAATGCCATTTAACCTTCATATTTGCAACTGAGGTTTAGAGAAGTTAAGTAACTTGCTTAAGGACTCACTAGCTATCAAGAAAAAGAGGTAGGGTTCGAACTCAGTTCTATCCGATTCTAATCACATGGTGCCTAAGCACTTTAACCACCATGTGCCAAGCACTTTACCCATAATGATTTATTTAATCCTAGCAAGTCTGAGGTAAAGGAAGCTTACCTCCGGGACCAGCAGTTAGCGTAATGGCTATGTCGCTGGACTCCCATGTAGTCGACTGGTTCAAGTCCCAGACCTGGTGGCTTAAACTCACGCCGGGCGCATGTGCATGTGTGCCTAAGATCCCGAGAGGAGAATAGAGGAAAAGGGATTGCGGCGTGGCCATCCCCCCGCGGGGTGATTTATCGCTCTCTGTCTCTGCCTCTCTCTTTCTGGCGAGCGCACGCGCCCTATAGCAAAAACCTCTCCAAAAAATATAAAAAGGAGGCTTAGCCCCATTTTATGGATGAGGAATTAGAAGTTCGGAGGCAATGGATCCCAGGTTACACAGCCAGTAAACAGTGGGGTCGGGATTTAAACTGGGTCTGCTGAATCCATCATTTCAGTTGCTTCCCAAACATGAGAGAGTTAGGTACAGAATCATACTATACAGACATTGTGTGAAGCTCATGTGCAGGCTTCACACAATGTGAAGCAAAGTGTCTGCCTGAAATACCTAAAAGCACACTGTTTTGGTCGGCAGGTCATCTGTCCCATTCTCCTCATGCTGTAGGTGGAGAAACTGGGGCTTATGCATGTGACCTGACTTGCCCAGCAAGGCCAAGATGTTAATGCAGGCTATCTGAGTGCTCAGTACATGTGTGCTGCTTTTACCAGACCATATTTCAGTGCAGGTCCCCAAACAACATTGCCTACCATCAGGCTGATGATACCTTGGGAGGGCACACTTAGGCTGGTTATGTCCCATGACTCCTCACTGCCTTCTGTAAGACTGTGACCTTGAGAAAGTAACCATGGCTTTTTCATTTCCATAGACTTTGGTGCTTTTTCTTAAATCTCTACCCAAAGTAAGTTATTAGTATACATGTATCTATTGAATTATAAAAGACATATGACCACAAAGGGCCAAAAGACTCTCATATTCCTTCTGTAGATACAGAACTAAAATATGACTGCATCTCTTTTTATTATTATTTTTTTATTTCATTGCCAGCTGTAACATGTGCTTGCCAGAAAGGGAAGGAGGGAGGGAGGGAGGGAGAGAGAGAGAAAGCACCCCCCAGTGGGGCACGGGCACACTGCAATCCCTTTTTCTTCCATTTCTCCATCCCATCAGGATCTTGGGCATGCACACACACTTGCCTGGTGTGTTTTTCAAACCACTGGAGTTGATTCAAACCATGGTCAGCCATGTGGGATCCAGTTTCCTATGCACAGCACTTAACTGCTGCACTATAGGGCCAGCCCTGTGTGTAAGTCTTAATGGCTCATCTCATCCATCCTGCAGTGTTGAGATGAGTGTCTCCATTTCACAGATTAGGAAACTGGACTTCAGAAAGAAAAGAAAAGTAGCAGCCAACCAGGACTAACTCCACAGTTTTCTGATTCCTGGACCTAACATAAGAGCTCGAGAGTGAGGGCTTGAGCAGACTGCCTGGGTTGGAACCTGTTTCCATTCCTTAACCACCAGTGTAACTTTGGCCAGTTTTCTTACCTTCTCAGCACTTTTGTGTCAACAGTAGAATGACATGTAATAGTACTAATTGCCTTGAGTTCTCTGAGGATTGACTGAAATATCACGTGTAGAGTGCTCAGAACACCTGGCACATAAATAAATGCTCAATAAATGTGTACTGTTTTTTAATCAGATCACATTTCTTCATAAATAAGAGTGAGGAGTGTTTTCCACCCCAGCTTTCCTTCTTGCCTTGTTTTCCCTTTAGTGGGTGGAATTTGTTTCAGGTCATATGAAGATTAACAATTGGGCTGTTACCTTTTAGTTGAAATTTCTATTGCCCTCCCTCCATGCAGACTACTTTGAACATGTGGGCCATGTTTTTATGTCTTTGCTTCTTTGTGCTCAAAGGAGGTATGTGTTAGGTGAAGACCTATGTAAGGGTCCCAAGGTACTACCTCTCTGTTTCAGATCGCGCTAGCAAGCTTTTATGAGGATGGAGGGGATGAAGACATTGTGACCATTTCGCAGGCAACCCCCAGTTCAGTGTCCAGAGGCACAGCCCCCAGGTAAGGGCCAACTTCAATTATTGCCACATAAGCGTTTCTTGGTGTGAGGAGGAACTGTTTTCTGCCTTGACAGGATATTCAGACCTGGGCATGGCAATGGGGGGCTTGGGTGAGAAAGTTAAGTCAGTAGTGGGTGGTGACTCCTTGTAAGCCTCGGTCATTTTGTAAGAGGTAGGCGTGACCCTTACCTGAGCAGAGTTTATGGTCAATCTTGGGAGAAACCAGAGCTTAGTTTTGAGATTTTTGAAGGACTTTAATTTATGGAACATGAGAACTGACCACTCTTTAACTCTGGAAATTTTTTATTAGAAGCCAAACACCTCCCTTTTAGGGGTTCTGTAGATGTAAAAGATTACTCCAGATGACTTTTAGGAAGTCTGGATATTTTAGAATACTCATTTTCTTGTAAAAAATAAATCTACATAATTTACCCTTTCCCATGTAATTTTGGGAGGCCTTCTCTTACCCAGTGAAACAGTGTTAACCTTTGTGATCCCATTTGCATCCCCTGTCCCAGCCCTTCTGACTCCCACTGCAGATCACTTAGTAACTGTTAAGTCACCTGCCGTGATCAGCGAAGTGGGACAGTGCTGGTTTCCAGGAAATGGACAGGACCTCCTGCGAAGGTGTCTGAGCTATGACACCACCCCACCCCCACCCCGCTTTAGCCTGATTGCTTCTAGCTCTTGTATATGTTCTAGCTAGAAAACTTTATTTGGGATTGAATTCGGACCCAGAATACGGGTAGAGTATTACTTCCTTAACTTCTTTCCCCTCCCTCCCATCTCCAGAGAAAAGAGATGGTCAGGAAGTGATCTTCCACTTACTTGCCGATGCTCATTGGTGTCAGGATAGCATATTGGGAAGTGACTGCCTGAGGTATGGTTGTTAGGGTGAGGTCTGCTGTTGGAGCTACGGAAGAGATGGCTGACTTCCTGGGGTGTGAATCTTTGACAGCTACTTCAGGTTACTTTTAATGTGTTGGCATGTCAGAACTGAGGCAGAGAAGTTGAAACTTAGCTTCTAATGCTCTCTTTTCCAGTACCTCCAAAATCCTATCAGGGCAGTAGTTTATTAAAGAGTGGACCCAGGAGTCTGACTGCCTAGGTTCAAATCCCAACTCTGCCACTTAAGAGCTTTGTGACCTTGAGCAGGTTACATAAAATCTCAGTCCCTCCGTTTTCCTCACCTGTCAAGTGGGAATGGTAGTAATACCTACCACTTGGTCAATTAAATAAGGTAATACTTACAAAGCTCTTAGATCACAGTACATGTTATCTGCTATAATTGTCTATTATTATTTGTAGCTTCCATTCTCCTCTTTCCCATTGTACCCTGCCTTATTCTCCAACAGAGCACATATATTAAAAATAGGCATAAAGTAAATTAATCGGGGAAGTAAAGTTTAATGTTAAGACGGGGGGGGGGG